GAGTTTGGACAACAGAAGGGAAATTCATTGGGATAAAACAATAGATGACCAGCTGTCTATTCCTGTCTCAGGGATCACAAAAGCTCTTTGGAGATCGCTTGAGAGCTCCTTAGAGAAAGGGGGCAGTAGGAATCTAACGCAAGCTTATGAGTCAATGAAGTGCGGTGACTCCTTTAGAACAAATGTGTTTTTCTGTGCGCATGCGCATGCATAGCAAGTCCTAAGAAAAGGAGGCAGAGATATTGACAGAGTCTTTAAGTAGCTGCTGTAGGCAAAAACTATTTAAAAAATTATGATTTTCCTAGCAAAGAAATGAATTTCCGGGGCCAGCCCCGTGGCATAGCGGTTAAGTGTGCTCGCTCTGCTGCTGGCGGCCCAGGGTTTGGATCCCGGGCGCGCACATACACACTGTCCATCAGGCCATGCTGTGGCGGCATCCCATATAAAGTGGAGGAAGATGGGCACGGATGTGAGCCCCGGGCCAGTCCTCCTCAGCAGAAAGAGGAGGATTGGCACACGGATGTTAGCTCAGGGCTGATCTTCCCCATAAAAAAAAAAAAAAGAAAGAAAAAGAAATGAATTTCTATCTACGCTGAAACAAGCACACAAAAATCACCACTCAAAGCCTAATTTAATATATGCAAGATAACAAAAAATACAAAATACTTATACAAGTAAGAATAAAACAGCTTTCACTTTTCTTTAGGAAAAGAATTTTGTTTACTGGGAGAATTGACTTTGACTCCTCACCAAATCAATGTGAAGTGAGTATTAGAGGAAACTCATGTTTGAAAAGTGAAAGAGGGAAGAGAAAACACACTAATGAAATTTACGGATGAAAGAAAATTTTTGAGAATTTAAGATGGAAATTTTGTCCAATGTGACCTAGGCGATGCAGATTAAATAGCAAAAATCCATGATTCTTGGTGGGGTGAAGAGAGGATGTCGTCAGGTTCTGATTCTATGCTCTATTCTAGGAAAGAATCCCTTGGACTCCGGGGATCACAGCGTTCAGCACGGAAGCTGAGATGAGGTGGCATATTCCTGGGCCCTGTATTGTATCTTTGTCAGTACAATGATGATTGATTATTTATTTTGAATACTTGAATGAATGAATGGTGTTTGAATTCTGTAAGGCCCAGAAGTGTCCCCTAGAGCTCTAGAGTGGTCTTCCGATTCATGTCCCTAAACGATTCCTTCACAAGCCCAGGTCACTTAAAGATGATGCTCCAATCTAAGCACATCCTTGGCAGTTACTTTTACTACTGAGATTCTCAGCTATTGGTCCACTCAAACCCTAGAAAAATATCACAGCACATGCTCATCCACAGTCCATTGGAGACAATATTTGAATTTCAGTTAAGACAAATGGGTCTTAGGCCAACTTTTCTTCTAATTAACTGTATATGTGGTATTTCACTGAGCTACTCTGGTCCTAAGGTTCCTTATCTGTAAAATAATCTTTTAAAGAGGTAAAATTTCTAAAGGTGCTCCTAGTTCAAAAGTTTTATAATTTAAGAGTGGCAAAAACAATCCCTATGGAAATTAAATAGCTTCTGATTAAAGGTAGTCCTTTCCTCACCAGAAAATCATCATTGAAAAAGTGGCTTCAATGAGATAAAATTACAAAAACAATTAGTGAATCAAAGAATCTGTTTTGGTTGGACACTAGAGACATAATGCATAATTTACTTGGTTTTACAGGCTTTATAAAACCTGATGAGACATGTATAGGATTATTTAATAATCGAGTATAAAGGTAGTGTCATGGTTATGAAATGGGTTGGATGTAAGAACACGCTGTGTTTGATTCTTATCTGAGTCAGTCTCCCTCTACTTGGGTGACTTTGTGACATACTCAATTTCAGTTTCATAACACATATTGGAGATGATGATGATAATAATAATAGAAAATTTTCCAGGATTACTGAGGAACATTACAAAGATAACAAACATTGCAAACATAACATTTGCAAATTGCATGGCACAGATACCTGGTCCACATCAGTGCTTGTTAAAAGCACTGATTCTGTAATAATTTGTATTCCCTTAGTTTGAAAACACTGAGAATTGGAGTAGGCAAAGGTTAAGCTTTACCAGTGGTTTACAAAAGAATTTAAAAGGTATTTTAACCAGTTTGGAAGAGATCTTGTTTTCAGTCAACAGAATACATCAACATTTGCATGCTTGCTTATTAGCTCACCTTTCTTTGCAGGCCTGAAGAACTTGAGATAGCAATTAAAAGAAACACATGGTGATTTTATCAATATATTCATGGATTTTTTAAAAAGAAAATATGAAAAATATATTTGAAAGCTTTTAATGAAAATGTCTATTTTCACTTAGAAGTACAACCTGTTTTTCAGATATTTTTCCTTCATTCCTCTTTAGTGTTGCTTTACATTTTGAGATCTGAGAAGTTTTAGACCAGATTCTATTCTATCATCACCCATGAATAGGGCAAATAAGAATTCTGCATGATCATTTTTGTTTGTTTCTGAGTTTTAAAGGGAGAAACACTCATCAGTGCAAATTTTAAAGGTACAGGAAAGTATTAAGAAACACATACAAAAGCAGCAGACATTTTATCATCAAGAGGGATACTATAACATTTTAACATTTGAGCCATCTGTATATAAAATTGTGTTAAGGAAGGAGACATTATTTTTCGTATTTAATTTGTCTTACTCTTCCACTAAGTTTTATCTGCTACTCTTGTCCTAAAATACAGAGAGGTATAAAAATGTATAATTCTTGTACAGAGAATAATACTCCCTAAGAAGCACAATAATTAAAATATAATTATTTACCACACCAAAAGAAATGTATGTTCAGAAGCAATGAAATTATTCTGAAACAGGAAAAAGATACACAAAATTCCTAAAAGTGAGATCTATTTTACCTGACAAGGGACTTCAACAAGGGTACCAGAGGTTGAACGGTGCTTTTGTGTATCCAAAACTAAACTGGTCAAAGGACTAAAACCCATAAATATGGGAAATGCTGTAATATCAAGGAAATGGACTAAAATATTAAAGGGTTTTCTCAGTTTTGATGGCCAAATTCCATCCTGTAAGCAGTGCATTAGACGCTAATGACATACGATTTCTCACTGACAGATTTAACAGCATCAATAAGGCCTCTCTGTCCATTGCAGCAAATTGATCCTACATGACACTGACAAGGGCAGCCTGCACTTAATGACCTCCATCGCTGAAGGATGGAAATGAAAAATGATTGGAAGTACAAATAAATCTTTGAAAGTTTCCCTGAAACAGGTGTGCTTTTAAAAGTGATTCGTTTGAGGGATCATCGCAAACATAAACCTAACCTCCTAGCATGCCCCACTGTCTGTTCATACCAGGGTCTCACTCCTTGGATCTTGAATCAAGATTTGCTTTAATTCCAAAAATGACATCAAGACAATTTTGTTCTTACTATGGAAATACTATGTTAGAAAGGCATGAGTTTTTCACTATTTATGCAGGTATCTAATATATTTGTCATTTGCCATCAAAGGATTCTATACAAACTGATGAGTATACATAAAATTTATTTTCGTTTCCCTCCTAGTTAGAAAAGGAAATACAGTATAGCCATTGATTATTTTCTCCTCCTCAATTATCAGCAACAAATAGAACATGTTTAACCTCAATAACATTGTCAAATGCATGATGTGATTGGACAAATGCTTCATGGAGACGTTGATGCCCTTTCTTTGAATCCTGCACAAGGGTTTGAGGAGACTAAGACTTCGTCATTTAGTTGTATTCTCAGTTCTTTCCCAAACACATTTATTTCTTTATCCATCTTCATCCTACTACTACTTCATACAAAGTTTAAGAGAAAAATACACTCTCTCTTCCAATATATTCGAAGGCTTTAACTCTCATGAGAGTAGATGGATGGGCAGCATAGGGGAGTTTATAAGCAGCATACCAGATGAATGTAATAGACACTTACAGTTGCATAGTATCCCCTTATTTTCAAAGTAACTACGGGTTTTTCTTCTTTATTACTTATCAACTTTCCTCTGAGGTAAATCTTATTTTACAAATGAGAAAACTGATATTGGAAAGGGTAAATAACTTGCCAAGATCACTGAGCTATTAATTGGTAGAGCTTACACTCAAATCCTGGCCTTCTGTCTTTCAAATATTCCATAATAATGAGGAATAAATATAGTACTGGAATTCTAAACTACTAATTTATAGTGCAGTATTATGGGTGATAACAATAGGAGAAAGGATCCATTAGCAGTCCACTGGTTCTTATGGCTAAGTGAACTATTAAAAAATAATCATGCCTCTATTTTTTGAAATTTATATTCTGGGAAGAAAGAAAGATTCAAAGGAAAATGATTTTTCTTGTCAATGAGTATCTGGAGAAGAATATAGAGGAAGTGGCTATATCCTAACACTCTAGTAATGGAGCTTTCTCTTTCCTTTTTGATTCGTGGCATATTGTGTGTTTTACTTTTCCACTATTATTATTACAGAAGATTTTACAAAATATATTAGAATTCCCAGTGATTTCCAGTAACCAGAGAGGGTCAACTGTTTCTCCAAGTTTCTAATTAAGCCTCGTATTTAATAAGAAAATAGAAACCAAAATTTGGAGCCCATATATCATAAGGAAGAATTAGAAGTGTATCATGGGTAGTTACCTACAGATAGAATTAATATTTGAAGTCTATGATAATATACTTAAATCTACGAACTACAAAAATTTGGTATCCCAGGTTATAATAATTAAAAGCAAATTAGTATAAAATGGTAGATTAGAAACTAAGTTCTTTCACTTCTCAAATATTCTTTCAAAATTCTATTTCAAAAAGTTGATAAAAATATACAACAAAACTTTATAAAAAGAAAACATGCCATTTGGTGGCATACAAAGGACCACCATCAGACTGGAGACTCCATGATTGACCACTTGTTACTTTTTGTAGGACATATGTCAAGTAAATCATTATTTTTTAAAAAATAAGAAAAACCTACCTGTTTCTGATCTCTAATTGAAGCATCAAGTGATAACTCTCTATCATATAAATTGAAATAATTGTCCTTTTCTGTTAAGAAAGTAGTCTGTAATTTCTGATACTCTTGAGCTAAACGTAGGTTTTCTTCTAGTGAATCAGCTTGTATTCTCTAGAAGATAAATATAGAAATATATTTAACTAAAATCATTTTAATTTGTTTGAATTTTTACAACATTGTTTGAATTATCTAAAAATATTATATTATATATTGTAGAAAAATAATAAACCCAAAAAGATGCATCCCCTGATACCAATATCCTCCTTGGATTTAATAAATTTCTTTCTTGGAGTCAACCCCCTGGTGTAGCGGTTAAGTGCGTGCGCTCCGCTGCTGGCGGCCCGGGTTCGGATCCCGGGTGCATGCCGATGCACTACTTGTCAGGCCATGCTGAGGTGGCGTCCCACATAAAGTGGAGGAAGACAGGCACGGATGTCAGCCCAGGGCCAGTCTTCCTCAGCAAAAAGAGGAGGATTGGCATGGATGTTAGCTCAGGGCTGATCTTCCTCACAAAATAAAATAAATAAAAAATAAATAATTTTCTTTCTTGATGCAGGTTTTTTTTGAACATTGAGTCATCAGTGTCTGTCTGGCTTTTGTTCCCCCTCTTTCCTGGACTTCCCTCTGTAATGCTTTGGGAAGTACCCAGTCCTGAGCGGTTCTACTCAGCATCCCAGGAGCCTTCTTCCAGTTGCCCACCCCCTTTTCCTTTCCTCAAGCCTCAGAGCTCAAGTAGGTAGAAGACACTTGGGAGTTTAGAATCCTATTTCCAAGAGGTGCAGAGTGGTGGCACTCACAGAAAACACTCAAAACATAGAGAAGTAAAAAGTAAAAGACAAAGAGCAAGAAACTCAATAGAAGCTCCCAGAGAGAGCCATTATTTGTCACTAGTATACTTTAGCTATATTAAAAGTTAAATCTGCTTCCATGAGCAGTTGAGAACTTTATAACAGCCCCCCCCATGACTCAGTAAATATATGTCGAATCTAATACAAACCCCTTAGAATATAACTTTTGTAAAAATACTCATTCACAAATTAGGGGCTACCTACAATTTTAAATCAGATGTATGAATTTGGTTTAGTTGCTGATTCTTTTTACATTTCTAGGACAGAAAATTTTCTCTTGCTGCTTCAAAAAATATGAAATTTATCAGCAGCCTTAAATATTTTAAACCTGTTAATCCAGTAATTCATCTTATGGGAATTTATTCTAAGCAAAAAGCTTTATTCGTTACAACATTATTTATAGTAGCAAAAAGTTTTCAAAACATAAATGCAGATTAATCCTGATGATGATAATGATGATTAAATAACTAGATATAAAAATAACCATTATGAAACAATTAAAAATGTTTCTCTGGAACAACTGCCATCACATCAAACCTTTAGTATAAGTTGTTAAAAAATATACTGTGGGATGACAGTGTGCATAGAGGAAATGTAATTCAGCATAAAATTGCCTGTACAAATATTTCTGTATTTATACCCTTGAAGATTTATTAAGGTCAACAAACATATTTCTCATAAAAGCCTAGTATCCATATTGATCCCTAACGATTAATACTATGTCATAGTAGTTCTTCAAAAAGCCAACATGATGAGCTGAGAACCATTTTAAATGTCCCTGTCCTAATTCTGGTACAGTAATTCAAAATTTTAGAAACTCCTATATAGTAAACTTGCCAAAAATCATATAGAATTATCTTTCGATAGGATAACAAAGTTTCTATGAATATTTTTCTTTGCTGGAGATACTTTTGAAAAGATGGTCATGATTCTTTTTCACATCTTAACATTAATATTAAAATCGAATACTCAACTGATTAACTTGGAACCTTGATAAATGTTCTACTGGAGGCAGGAGGAGGAATCATTTTGAATTTCTTTGTTTGTTTGATTTAACATAAGCTCAACTCTGATACCTCAGATATTCTACTTCTCAATTACAATTCTTTCAAGCCCTAAATGGCTACTATAAACACTGAATTTGAGAGGAGTGCTACAAATGTGGGATTTGCATTAAATCGATTTAATGAAACTTAATTGGGGATATATATATATATATATATGTATATTTGGTACTTTATACTTTGCTTACTGTGTAATATGCAGTTTTATTTTCAAATACATACACTTTCAATTTCCGTATGACACCAGTTCTTACTGGTTTATATGCCATAATTAGAGTAGATGCCAAGAAATCGAATTGTGTAGTTACGCCAATGAATCTTCACAACATTGTTACATCAGTCATGATATTTTACATTATCATTTCCCAATAATGAATGTATAGACGGATTTGCCAATTCACTACCTATTCCTGAAAGTCAGTGACCTTCAGATGTGCAATGAAGTTTATGTTTTTTTAATTTTAAACAATGGTATTCTGCTGATACTGAAAATGTTTTTTATGTTTGTGGTTCCACCTCACAACTCTGACTGGTTTAACTTTAACCAACAGTATTATAATATGCAAATGAAACAAAGAGGGAACGATAATTATTGGTAGAAATATCTCCAGGGGAAATAAAGCTACCACTACTGGAACTGAACAGCATATAAAAGGATAGCAATGAAAGATATTTAATAAAGGGCACAAAAGTTGGGGTTGGTGACAGAATAAAAGAGTGAGAAGAAAGAAGAAACTAATAAGAGAAGATGACTTTCACATGCTTTTAAATTCAAATGCAGTTGGTCTTATCAGTAGAATCTTTCCACTCAAGGTCTTGGCTAAATAGGAAGATGAACATTTTTTTTTTTCTAAAACTATTAAAGAAAAGTTTGATTGCTATTTCTGTAGGTTAAAATAATTGCATTCTTCGTTGATTTACAGTATTATTTCATTCATTTATTCATTTTCATTCATTTACTTATTCAAAACTTTTTATTTAGTAACTACTATATGCCAAGCTCTGAGATATAATAGTGAACCTCAACAATTTGTGGTCTTGTGGGAAAGATTTATATTAAAAATCACAGAAATATATAAGTAAAATGTAGAATTATGAATCTTTTGCTTTTTTTTTGTTTTCCATATGCCTTAAATTCACCCACAAGCTTTAAGTAAATATAACACTCTCAAAGCGAGATTTATTGGTATTTATTCAATTCCCATTATTAATGATTATGAAGATAATGAAACATTGGGAATATGGCTTGACAAAGAGAAGAGAAATGGTGAACGTCTGTTAATAGTTTCCATGTTGTCTAGAACTTAGTAAGGAAAATACTTAGTTTGATGACAGTTTGTTTTCTATTACCTTAATTTATTTGTTAAATTTTGATGTTTGGGGGATATTATAGCCTCTTATACCAATATTTTACTAGATAATAAAGATTATACTTATAAAGGTCTGAACAAAAGTTAGATTATATGTTCCATGAGGGCTGAGACCCCTAAGATATATTGCATAAAGCAGAGCTGACATAAGTGGATGCACAGGTTTTTAGTAAAAGAATGAATGAATACACAGAATAACAGTTAGGAAATGCCTATACCTAGCACTTTAGAACTACACATTTTGTTTGTCCACGTCTATAAAACAATCTATTGATAATGTAACTACCTATTATAATGAAGCACATTCAATTTATATTATTTGATACTATACTACCTGAGAGGTGAAGATTTTAAAGAAGTATATAAAGAGAATTCACACAATATGTTTTTGCACTGAACATTATTCTAAGGATATACCATGTTGTCCAGATTTAGCAAGAGTTCTTTCTCTGGGTGCATCATTGACTTGCACAAGCAATGTGAACCCCTTGAAACTGCACAGAGCATTTTTCTTAAATTATCTAATTATCCCATGATTCCAAAAGTATTGAGAAACCATTGCTAAAGAAATATCTGGCTTCCTCCTCTGTCCACAAAAATGCTGAAAAATAAAGGCAGATTGAGACCCCAAGATATCCAAATAGTAGTTCTCCATTTTTTTTTTCACTTGACCTTTCTTATTCTTTAAGTCATGGATTTCAACTTGGACTTTTCCTCCATTTTCTTCAGTTTCAGTTTATTTTTCTCACTCTTCCCTTTCTCCTTTCCCTCTCCCACTGGGTAAGTAGAGAATAGGGAATTATAGTCAGAGAACTGGGCTTTTTTTGGACAAAAATATAGAGCATGTATCATCAATTTACGTTTCACCTTGTGATATATAGACAAGACCTTAGAAATAAGGCTGAACTTGAATGTTAACTTATGAATTCCACACAATGAAAAGAACTGAGACAATGCAACTGTCTCAGTTGTTATATTATTATCCTCATTTTACAGGTAAGGAAGATAAGAAAAAGAGAAGTCAGGTTAGGTAAATTGTATTTTCCAAAAATGGCCACAGAAATATTTTTATTCCCATCTGTTCTTCCAGAACCTTGTCACTCCCTATCAAAAGCATAGTCTATTTCTCCTTGTCTGGAATTTGGGTAGATTTGTGGCTTCTCTAGCCCATAGAGTATGGTGGAAATGAAGCTATGTCACTTCCCAGGCTAGTTTTAAAAAAAAACTAGTTTTAAAAAAGCTAGTTTATAAAAACAGATAGTTTATTAAAGAAGCTTATGGTTTCTGCCTGGCCCTCTCTTTGGGGACACCTTGAAACCAGCCACCATGTTGTGAGGAATCCAGGCCACATGGAGAGGTTCTGTGTCAGTGTTCTAGCAAACAACACTAGCTCTGGTCTCAGACAACAATAAGCATCAATCATGAGTGAATGAGTCATCTGAAGATGATTCTAATCCCTAGTCTCCAAGTCATCCATCTGATGGTTCAGAAAGTGTGAGAAAAGAGACAAGCTGGCTCTGCTGCGTCCTGTTCAAATTTCTGACACATAGAATCACAAGCCATGAAGTTTTAGGGTAGTTCTTATGTAACCATAGCAACTGAAATACCAGGTATCTTGTGCCAAGTATATTAAGTACAGGACATATCCACATATGACATATCCTCCACATATTAAGTGGAGGACCTGGGCTTTGCAAAACCTAGGCAGACTGGCTCCAGATCCCATACTTTTCACGATCCAATATACTTCCTTCATAAACATGAGCCAGCACTCTTTAAAACTATGCAATGCTGTCTTTACAAAACCTAATGACATTTAACAATCAAAT